TGTGCTGCAGCTGCTCTGACAAAAATAACTCTAACGTTTGCAACCTCCTCCTGGGGAAGAGAAAGTCTCAGAGCCTGGATCACAGTTCTTCTTGGGAGGGACTGTCACAATCTCGGTGTAAGAGCATCCTATCGACACCACAACTTGCCATGACAACAAAGCACAGCATGCGTTGAAGGAACTCCATGTTCACCGAGCCGTGTCCTCTTTAAAAGTAGCATGCTAATGAGCACTACTGACACGAACTGGGCCAGTGGCGCAGTGGATAACGTGTCTGACTACTGATCAGAAGATTCTAGGTTCGACTCCTGGCTGGCTTGTTCAGGAATTTTTTGCGTTGCTCTCAGTGCAGTGCGGTCGCGGTTTGCCCCTGCCGTAGTTGTTCGGTTCTACTCTGGAGTGAATCGAGTTTCTGGGGCCGCCAGCACAGAGCCTGTGGGGTGCTCTCCTGGGTTCAAAGGCTGCCCCAACTGTTCTCATGTCTTGGTCCCGTACATCCCTCAGGATTTCCAAAAGAAACCAGTACAGCCACTCTCCTGGGAAGACGGCAGTGACAGCTTGTAGACCAAAATGTTTGCTGTGAGGCTAAGGCGTTCTACTGCAGCACAGATACGCATTCGAAAAGCAGACAATATTCAAAAACAAAGTGCCAACCTAAAACAAGATTGCAGTCAAAATGACCACCTCAGACAAGTGTGAGCAATGTTTCAGTCTCTGTTATATGTCGGCAAATATGCCACACAGTGCAGACGCTCATACTACTGAAAAGGAAGTTACCTGACTGAGAAAGGTATAAATAGAAATCGGAGCCTGCTCCAAATGACTTGGTCAGCTCCAAGCGGGTGAGACTTGAGCTCCAAGTGGGCTGTAAAAACCTCCTGGAGTTATCATTCATTTAATGTCTGGTACAAGACACTGCGTCCAACCAGTTATGTTTGAATGTCAAACCTACCCCAATCCTTAACCCAACCTCACAGTTTCCTGCTGTGTTTTATCAACCTCCCAACCTACCCCAACTCTTAACCCAACCTCACAGTAACAAACCTCCATGTGGGTTTCATTGATTCAATGTCTCGTACATGGCACAGAATACAACCTATCGCAGTTTATTAAAATCACACCTACCCCAGCCCTAGGCCCAACCTCACGATAACCTGCTGTGTTTTATTCAATTTTACTCCTACCCCAACCCTAAACACAACCTCAGAGTAACCAGTTTTAATTTTTTTTATTTTTATGAATGTCTACTACAGCTACATCAATCGCAAACCCAGCCTACGTGCGGCATAAGTGCCTACCACTTAGAGGTCATCCAGCCAACTTGCAGTGTAATCTCCTCCACTTGTAGGTCTCTGAGCTGCAGCAACACCTAAGCGCTCTGACACACAGACACAAAAGAAAATATTGCTTTTAACCTCCTCTTGGAGAGGAGAGAGTCTCCGACCCTGGATCTCAGGTCTTCTATGGAGGGACTGTCAGGAATCCTGTAAGAGCATCCCATCCACACAACCTCTTGCCATAAAAACAAAGCAGAATGTGTGGTGAAGGAACTCCGGGTTGACAGAGCCTTGTCCTTGCTCCAAGCAATGTGCCAACAAGGTGCTGAACAGAGTGACGGTGGCACAAAGGTTAGCGCTTATGACTACGGATCAGAAGATTCTCGGTTACGGAAACCAAGAAACTGTGTATGAGAGAGTGCGTAAGTGTATGAGTGGCACTTGTGCAAGCGGAGCAGGGACGTGCCAGCGATGAGAATGAACTGGAGTTTGTGCCAAGACCGGCTTTCCAAAGTGGCAGTTCCCATATGGTCTAGCGGTTAGGATTCCTGGTTTTCACCCAAGCGGCCTGGGTTCGACTCCTGGTATGGGAAGGCTTGAGTGATTTTGCTTCTGTCCTTTTTGGCCAGCGGTCGGACTGTAGCTACCTTATAGGATGTGGTTGTGGAGCTGCTCCGTAAGCCTTCGATAGCTCAGTTGGTAGAGCGGAGGACTGTAGGTAGGATGATGGCAATTCTTAGGTCGCTGGTTCGACTCCGGCTTGACGGACATCTTTTGCGCTCAGAGCCGCTTTCTTGCTTTCGCCAAGTGAGTTCACCAGTGCTCAAAGTTCAGCATGGAGGTGAAAAGGAAGTTCCCTGACCGGGAATCGAACCCGGGCCGCGGCGGTGAGAGCGCCGAATCCTAACCACTAGACCACCAGGGAAGGTCTGGCTGAAAGTTGCCGTCAAGTCTAGCTGTGGGCCTCCACCCAGGTGTGCTGCAGCTGCTCTGACAAAAATAACTCTAACGTTTGCAACCTCCTCCTGGGGAAGAGAAAGTCTCAGAGCCTGGATCACAGTTCTTCTTGGGAGGGACTGTCACATGCTCGGTGTAAGAGCATCCTATCGACACCACAACTTGCCATGACAACAAAGCACAGCATGCGTTGAAGGAACTCCATGTTCACCGAGCCGTGTCCTCTTTCCAATCAGCATGCTACTGAGCACTGCTAACACGGACTGTGCCAGTGGCGAAATGGATAACGCGTCTGACTACGGATCAGAAGATTCTAGGTTCGACTCCTGGCTGGCTCGTTCAGGAATTTTTTGCGTTGCTCTCAGTGCAGTGCGGTCGCGGTTTGCCCCTGCCGTAGTTGTTCGGTTCTACTCTGGAGTGAATCGAGTTTATTGGGCCGCCAGCAAAGAGCCTGTGGGGTGCTCTCCTGGGTTCAAAGGCTGCCCCAACTGCTCTCGTGTCTTGGTCCCGTACATCCCTCAGGACTTCCAGAAGAAACCAGTACAGCCACTCTCCTGGGAAGACGGCAGTGACAGCTTGTAGACCAAAATGTTTGCTGTGAGGCTAAGGCGTTCTACTGCAGCACAGGTACGCATTCGAAAAGCAGAAAATATTCAAAAACAAAGTGCCAACCTAAAACAAGATTGCAGTCAAAATGACCACCTCAGACAAGTGTGAGCAATGTTTCAGTCTCTGTTATATGTCGGCAAATATGCCACACAGTGCAGACTGGGCCAGTGACGCATACTGGCACCTGTAAGTCGTGGTTATTCTTGGCTACACCGGCCAATCACGTTCTGGGTTGGAACAAAGATTTTTTTTTAATTCATGGTTACGCTGGCCAATCACGTCCCGAGCTGGAACCAAGATTCACCCTATTCTTGGTTACGGCAGCCAATCATGTTCAGAGTTACAATGAACGCTATGGCCAATCAGAGCCCTTATACCATTCAAGATTTGTACTGTAATAACAGATTTAGTTGCAGATTAATTCGGACAACAATTGCAAACTAAGTATTTTTATAACAAGTTGGTTTAAATGAATAACCATTACAGTAACATTAATTACTACAACACGATTATTATATGATTGTTATAGATGTTGTATAACGTTATTTGGTAAGATTAACTTAGCCGACCAAGCACTCTTTAAAGTTTTACTACAAACATTTTAATGCAGTTATTATACATTACAACACTTTATATTATTATTTACTACCATAGTTACAATAATGCCCGTGCATTATTCTAACACATCAATGAATCACTCACTTATAATAAATATAAGGCTCATTTCATCAGTCACTGATTATAAACAAATATTATAATAACGCTCACATATGACTACATCACTAATCATAAACTAATCTAATAAATCAATCACAAAGCAAAAAAACAATATGGATCACGCATGAATGCATCACTAATAATAAACCAATAATAGAATAATGCTCACACATTAATTCATCAATAATAATAAAGCGATAATATAAGGGTCACACATTAATCCATCTTCAATAATAAACCAATAATATAATAATGCACACCCCCCATATGGGAGTCCAGGGCCGTAACATCCACTGTCTCTAACGTTAGCTTAAAAGATTTCCGGCATCAAAAGCAGTAGGCATTGCTGAGGAGTATGGCGTCCCCGTCACTCAAACACATGCACCCCCTGCTGGCCTCACTAACACCACTTCCGGCAGCAATCTAGCTTTCCCATGTGGTCTCCCATCCAGGTACTGACCGGGCGCAGCCCTGCTTAGCTTCTGTGGGCAGCCATGGGAGAGTTGCAGAGAGCTAGCTGCTGGCTGGTAATGGAGTTGATGTGATTGTCTGTTGTGGTGAAGGAGCTGAGACAAAAGGTAATCTAAGTACCTACTGTCACCCATGGTCATGACTGAAAGGACAAGATCTCGGATACAACCGGACACATTTTACAAAGTGTTTTGACCCGCTTGTTTGAGTCGCAGCACAAAAGAGAAATGAGCCAACAAAATAACCTGAATGCAAATTATTTATTATAAAATGTAACTCATAGAACAATCAATCAATGCATCCAACAAATGTTTAGGGATACTAATGAAGATAAAGAACTTAGGATATAATCACAACAACACTTTAACTACATGATATAAGTAACGCAAAACAAAACCATAAGGTTAAAGAATCAATGAGATGGGAGGTCTTGACATGAGGACTCCTGAGTAGCCACAGGTCCTGGGGTAGCTAGCACAACAACTTTTATATACCCATTGATGAGCAATGCAGGCATCCAATCACGATTTACCACATACTCCAACCTGGATTTCTCATTCAGGGAATCAGACAGATAACATCATCCAACACAACACTAGCTACATGAACACACTGGAGAGTGGATAACAGATGAGATTTTAAGCCGCAGAGGTGCTGTTATCCAGATGTTTATGAAACTGTTCTTCTCTCAGCCGCCATTATTGTGTTTACATAAATGCAAGGAGCGCGACACATTTACAACCCCATCTACTGCAGTGTAGGATTGTTGGAAAACAGTATACCTATTATACTGTTATTTATAGCCTATTCAAACATTATTCAGACATGAAACATCCTGTGCACATGAGATAATGTTTTGCTGCATTCATGTCATGTGTGCAACTTTTTGTCCATGTGTTTCTTAAGCTGCGCCGAATGAGTGAAACTCTGTAGACACTGACCAGATCTGTACGGTCTCACTGAGAAGATGTGAATGGTTTCCCTCCAGTGTGGATCTTCATGTGTTCATTAAGGTTTGGTGATTGGTTAAAACTCTTCCCACACTGAGTAGATGTGAATGGTTTCACTCCAGTGTGGGTCTTCATGTGTTTAATAAAGGTCTGAGGAGCTGCTGAAACTCATCCCACATCGAAGCTGCGGTCACATTAGAATTTGAGCATGCGAAATTCTGTTGTACAGCGCTGTGAAAAGGAGCCGGATTAAACAAGATGATCAGACATTTAAAAAGCGAACGATTGGTCTATATTTTACTAACTGTCCAGAGAGGTCATGTTTTGATCTTCGATAGGTCTCACACAGTCAAGTTATGCAATTTTGCAGGTCAGAATTCATCAAGCTTGAACTCTGCAAGGCAATGAACTGCGAAACTTGAGGCACGAACTTGCATTTCCGGTCTAACGCATTCACGTGCGTATGAATGGAAGTCTATGGCGAGAAAAGTCCAGTGTGACCGCAGCTTAAGTGCAAGTGAATGGTTTCTCTCCAGTGTGGATCCTCATGTGTCGACTAAGGGAGAATGAGCAGTAAAAACTCTTCCTACACTGAGTGCATGTGAATGGTTTCTCTTCATGTGTTGATTAAGGTGTGATGAGCAGGTAAAACTCTTTCCACACAGAGTGCATTTGAATGGTCTCTCTCCAGTGTGGATCCTCATGTGGTAATTAAGGGATGTTGATAGGCTGAAACTCTTCCCACACTGAGTGCAAGAGAATGGTTTCTCTCCAGTGTGGATCATCATGTGTCGAATAAGGGAGGATGAGCAGTAAAAACTCTTCCCACACTGAGTGCAAGAGAATGGTTTCTCTCCAGTGTGGATCCTCATGTGTCGAATAAGGGAGGATGAGCAGTAAAAACTCTTCCCACACTGAGTGCATTGGAATGGTCTCTCTTCAGTGTGGATCCTCATGTGATAATTAAGGGATGTTGAAAGGCTGAAACTCTTCCCACACTGAGTGCATGTGAATGGTTTCTCTCCAGTGTGGATCCTCATGTGGTGATTAAGGGATGATGATTGGCTGAAACTCTTCCCACACTGAGTGCATGTGAATGGTTTCTCTCCAGTGTGGATCCTCATGTGGTGATTAAGGGATGATGATTGGCTGAAACTCTTCCCACACTGAGTGCATGTGAATGGTTTCTCTCCAGTGTGGATCCTCATGTGATAATTAAGGGATGTTAAAAGGCTGAAACTCTTCCCACACTGAGTGCATGTGAATGGTTTCTCTCCAGTGTGGATCCTCATGTGTTGATTAAGGGATGATGATTGGCTGAAACTCTTTCCACACTGAGTGCAAGTGAATGGTTTCTCTCCAGTGTGGATCATCATGTGTTGATTAAGGTGTGATAAGCAGGTAAAACTCTTCCCACACTGAGTGCATGCAAATGGTTTCTCTCCAGTGTGGATCCTCATGTGTAGATTAAGGGATGATGATTGGCTGAAACTCTTTCCACACTGAGTGCATGTGAATGGTTTCTCTCCAGTGTGGATCATCATGTGTTGATTAAGGTGTGATGAGCGGTTGAAACTCTTCCCACACTGAGTGCATGTGAATGGTTTCTCTCCAGTGTGGATGATCATGTGAATCTTAAGTTTGCTTTTGTTTGCCAAACTCTTTCCACACTGAGTACAGGTGAAACGATTCTTTTTTCTCCTTTTCAAAAAATGATTTTTTTCCTCAATTTTGACATGATGTTCCTCGTCTTTACTCCCCTTATTCTCTTCAATGCAATCTGAAAGAAATAAATAAAACAATAGTTTTCATTAAGTCTTAAAAACTCTCATCAAAAGCTCAAAAGTGAAAAGACACAGGAAACATTGGCTTCACACACTGTAATTTTAATGCACATTAAATGTAAAATAAATCAGATAATATGTTGTTTGGTCCATTAATGTGTACACATTTAAGCAGATACAATTTAATTCATCTTTATTTATCTAGAGCATTTACAACATAAATTGTGTCAAAGCCACTTAACATTGAAGTTATAGTAAATTGAAACAGTTTCAGTCCAGTTTTCAGTTTCTTACATAATGGATCATAAAAGTCATTTTGATCATATTGATAAGACAGATTTAAAAGCTGTAAACGGCCTATTTTTATTTGTATTGTAACAGTGGTGGTTTTGGATAAATAAGTTTTGTTTAAGTCTTTCAAAGAAAGAAAAAAAAACAAAACAAATGAACTTTCAAAAACTGCTCCCAGCGGGATTAGAAGTTGGGCCGTCAGCATAGTAGTTGAATGCTTTATCGCTAGTCCATGTAAGAAGTGAAATCCGTGTCTTTTCCAGACCCTTTCATCCTACTCCCAGTGGACCTCGAACAAAAAAGTATAGGTTATTTATAACCTATGGGCGCCAAACAAGTTTATCTTGTCAAGGATAGCCACAGCAAGCATTAATTTCCACCATTTCATAATCAAAAATAAAAATAAAATAAATTAAAGATTCTCTTTAAATAAGAACTCACACACACATGTACATTGACTCAACAGTAATATATTTAACCATAAAAAATTAAAAATACAACATCACTGCGGAATCACTCCATTTGTGAAGGTTTCTAAACAAAATCAACCATCCTTGTACAACAAACAATAAAAGAAACAAACTAAAACCAAAACGGTTCAAAAATAAATTATAGCTAGTGTAAAGGGGGAATGATGGAATGAGTAATGAACAAAAAGCCTGTTTTATGGGGTTGCAACGTGTGTAAAGATTTTCAGTGTGGGTGTATGAATGAATTAAAATGAACTGACCCGGGCTATTAGTATCGATTGGTACTGGTCCACCCCTTGATAAGTTTCATTTTGGGAGGCTCCTTCCTACCAGACTGACTTTTTCGTTGGCTTCAGGAAAGGATTCAGCTTCCCACTTACTCCACCGAGGATCCAGGAGACTGCTTGCACAAAATGACCACTGTAAAGTTTGCCGGGCACACTGCGTCCATTCTTGCTACACGCCAGTCTTTTTTTTCTTCACACGCCAAAAACCAACAGCTCTTCAACCTCGCACATTTCCTTTCTCCATTCTCTGCCACAACAAACACAAACCCAAAAGAAACAAAATTCTTCTTCTCACTTTTCCATTTCCTCCCTCTTTAATCTTCTTTTCCCTACCTGAACTTCCGTTTTCTTCAACTTGACCCTGGAGGTTTTTGGAAGGGCAGGTTTGACTAGCTTCCCCTATTGGAGCTTAGAAGAAAATATTTGGGGGAGGCATAGTCTTGCCACACTCTCCCCCTTGAAGAAAAAAAAAAAAACAACAACCCCTGGTTGTTTATAAAAGGGATGTCAGAAACCAAGAAACTCCTCTTAATCTAGTGGTTAGAGCAAAATGGCCTTAAGTTTTTCTTTCTCCTGATTCTCCAGTTCTTCAGCTGTTGGAAAGCAAGGCTTAAGATTACAAACATTTACGGTTCAAACATCCTCTCCAGTGTTTTCCAGTGCAACACGATAGTTCAGAGGTCCTAACTGTTGAATTGTCCTGTAGGGTCCTTTCCATTTTTTTGCAAGCTTTGCACTGAAATTATGCAATAAACTTGACTGAGGAAAGCTTACCCTGACACTGTCTTTTTCTTTATAGGATGCCTCTCATCCTGTTTTATTGTAACTGCGGAGTTGTTTTGCCATAGCTGTTTTTCTGAACTCACTTGCTTTCATTTTCAAATTTGACAGTTGTTTTGTAACGTCGTAGGCCGGAGAATCGGTATAAATTGTGTCCATGCAGTAACTTATCTACAGGACCTTGGAGTTTCCTCCCGAGTAGAAGCTCTGCTAGAGTCATGCCGATGGTTTCTTGGACTGCAGAATTAATGGCAAAGCGAAGTTCTGGTAAGTGTTGGTCCCATTTTTATGGTTATCTTCTACATACGCAGAAATCATTTGTTTTAGGGTTCTGTTCAGTCGTTTTGTGAGATTGGTCTGGGGGTGGTAGGCTATTTGATTTTTGTCATTTTCTGTTTGATTTTCCATTTTTAAACTTCAGAGAAAACTGCTGATGTGAACTGTGTGCCTCGGTCAGATAGAATGGAATCTGGTACTCCCCAACTAGTGAGTATTTCTTCTCTGAAGAATTTGGCTTCTGTCTGGGCAGTGGCCTCTCGCATGGGAAATAATTCCAGTGTTTCCTCTAGGATTGCACAGTAGAATCTCTGTCTGCTAGGTTCTGAAATATCTTGATTATATCTGGGTCTTTGTGTTGCTCTTCCCAGATTTCTGCAATGAAGATGGGTCAAAGTACGGTCACTTGAAAGGTGCAGAAGGGCATCCAGCTGGTTTGATGACAGACTCACTGTGCTTTTGATGAAGGGTTTGCGAACCCAGTCGTACTGGTTCCAATTATGCTGCTCAGAAAAATACCTATTGAAATATGCAGACAGAGATTGCAGATGGAGAGTGATTTCCGTTTTAGTAGTATCCCAGTTAAACACATTTTCTGTGATAAATTCATCCAAGGTCAGGAACATGTTTAGATTTAGTAGGTTTGAACACGGCCTTGAAGGGACAAATTAAGCGAATTAAGCCAATCAAATATGTCAGACAGGTATGTAAGATCTGTGAGCTACTTAGCGTCAGTAAAATAACTCCTAAAGGAAGATCCACAATCAATCCTCAGTTCGTAATGCAATGAAAAAATACGCTGCAGGACTTTGCCTGTGGAGAGCCATCTAACCTCCTTGTGCAAAAGCAACGACTCATATTCGGACCCCATTTCTATGCACAACAAGGCAAACAGTCTTGATTTAGTGGGACAAACTTTATGAAATTCACAATCTGTATTGCTGTTTGAAGCACTGCGTTCAAGTCCGCAGGAAGTGTTTTTGCTGCGAGGACCTCTCTGCGAATCATACAGTGGGTGAAACAAACATGCGGAGCTACTTTATGAACCAAAGCAGCGAGTCCTTTATTTTTTCCTAACATGGATCCCACTCCATCAGTGCCCAAACCAACACAATTGTCCCAACAAAGACCAAGTTCATTCAGTTGACCGCTGAGTTTTTCTAAAATATCTTTTCCTGTAAACGTCTTTTCATTGATGAGCAAAATAGTAGATCCACAAGCAATTTTCTCTCATGACTGTAGCGGACGAATACAAGTAGTTGAGATGAGTTTGATATGTCTGTCGACTCAACTAATTGTAATAAAAAAGAAATCCCATTCTTTATTCTTTTAATCAGCTGACGTTTGACGTCGCATGCCATAACAGTTATACGCCGGCTTATGGTGTTGTCTGGTAGTGGAATTTGTTCAATGTAACTTGCATACTTCTCTCTAAACAGTTCTACAGATGGCCTTTGCAGCTGGAGATATGAGGCTCTCTGGAAATGTATGTGGCTATTTGGCCTTGGCAACTAAATGTGCCACCTCATTTGAAGCAGTAAGCGATTTTACTTGCAGCGTGGTTTGACTAGTCATCGTTTGTTTTTGTCCTCTTAATGCTGATTCTTTACATCGAAAAAAGTCGACTGGCTTATCTTTTAACATCGGATGTTTCTTCTGTAAGTGACGCACCAGTTTCACAGGTTTTAAACTGTCATTTGCAAGGACCTCTGAACACACAACACATTGTGGACATGGTTCGTTATTAATCGTATTGTATGTACTGTTCATCATACTTCCGTTGGTTTGATGCACACAGGCCTTTGGTTTTTGTAATGAGCGTTAAACCTCTCTGTTTGGAGATCCCCGTTGACGCGGAGGGTTGGTCATCCGTTTGCTTTAATGCTTCAGAAGGGCACTCGTCATCTTTTTTGTCAGACGGTTTACCGGTGTTAACTTCACCGTCGTTAATTTTAAAAAGCCACAGGTCCATTTTTTGTATATGTTTTACGTGATCGCATTAACTACAAAAGGTGCCTCGTGCCTGATAGTTAGCTGCGGGACTAATCAGATTGACTCTTGTGAACATAAAAAAAAACGTCATAATTTACTCGAGTGCACACCTCAGTTTCTCGATCCCCCCTTAACAGGCGCTGGCGCCCCACATTTTGAAAACCCCTGGCCTATAGTATGGCTAAACAAATTATAAATATTAATAAATTCCTCCTGTCCTTGCGCCTTGTGTTGTGTCAACACTGCACCTAATCCGGAATCACTGGCATCGGTGTTAACCACAAAGGGGAGTCGGAGAACAGGATGTCCAAGGATGGGAGGCGAGGTGAGACAAGTCTTTAATTTCTTCAGTGCTTGTTGACATTGAGGTGTCCATTGAAAAATTCACCCTTTTTTCTTCAATGAGTTCATGGGCTCTGCAATTTGAGAAAGGTTTGGCACAAACATATGGTACCACCCTGCCAATCCAAGGAGTTAATGTCTTTGATGTTTTTTTTGGAACCGGGTAGGATGTTATCGCTTCTACTTTAATGGAATCAGCAGGAATGGCCTGGGTGTTCACCACATGTCAAAGAAATGATAATTTATGTTGGCAGAATTTACTTTTCTTCAAGTTAATGATCAGACCAGCTTTGTGTAACCAGGTGAAGATCTTTGAAGTGTTGGGTGACTGAGGGTGAGTATATGATGTCGTCATCAAAATACACAAAACACATTTTTCCCAGCAACTCTGCTAGGACAGACTCCATTAATT